CAGCCGGCGTACATGACGAACGACGCGCAGTTCTTGCACATGCGGCTGATGCTGATGCCGCCTTCACGCCCGGCGAATGAACTTCGCCGACGTGTTACCCTTCGCCGGGCCGATGTGCACGTTCGTCGCGCCGAAACACGGGCAGGTGAAGGTGCTGCGACGCGGACGCGCCGGCGCCGGGCAGCGTGAGCACCTGCCGCGGTGAGGAAAAAGCCTAGGAGGAGGGTGACGTCATTTGCCACGTGGCTGGCGTGGGAGACGAGAGCAGAAGAGTAAACCAGCCAAGCGCGCCGTATCTGAAGCCCCCGTGCGCATCCAGCGCGATAATCCTCCATAGGACGAGGAGGAGACAGCGGCGGAGGAGGGGGGAAGAGAGGAGGAAGACAAAGAGCAGGCTCGGTCAGTACTAAGAGCAGGGTCAAATGTGACAATGCGGGATGTGCTACTAGCGGGGGTCCCACAGGCCGTCGTCTGAGCCCTTCAACGGGTCCTTCTCCTCGCGCGCTGGTGGCGAGTCATCTGAATCCGACGGTGAGATTGCGCGTTCTCAGGAACGCACGGCAGGATTTCCTCTATTTTCCGGGGGTGGAACGCAAACCTCCGTTTGAAGCAGGACGTGCAATGCGGAAACTCAAGGAACTATCACCGCTATCATAACCAATGTGATTGCTTTCCCCGCTAATGTTGCCGGCTAGCCGGCCGTCCTTGGCGGCTCTCTGCTCCATAGCAGCGCGCCGAGCCATGTCGGCCTGGCGACCCATCTGGTCCGCCTCGTACGCCTCTATGCGTGCGGATAACGCGTCGCGGAGCTTCCGCGTGGCGCGATGCTGCGGCGCCATGCCGAAATGTTCCACTTGGTAATCCCTAGGACCGCAGTGAACAGACGTGCTTTGAGAGTCCCCAAACGCCTACGACGGCGAAGCAGCACGGAATTATGGAAGCGGCGAAAAGGGGAAACTTGTACCCAACGTTGGGCGGAAAGCCGGAACCTAGGCCGTCGTAACCCTAACTTTCACTAATTGAAACCAACCTAGGAAATACCGAATGGCGAGGCTGCTTTTTTATAAAAGCTGTTGTTGCTTCGAGCACTCGCGCCAAACGAGTTGATGAACGAGTTGCTGAAGTGGTTGGGGAGAATCTCTTTACAAGAAGACGCGGTAAAGGAGGGCAGGACAAAGGACGTCGAGAAGGAATGGTCTGATAGGCTGACAAAAGCAATGGTTGGAGACGCGGGGTATCGATCCCCGTACCTATCGCATGCAAAGCGATCGCTCTACCATGTGAGCTACACCCCCATACCATGCATCTCTAGCTATTAATTTATATAAATACTTTCACTGTAGACTATCGAGCAGAGGAACACTCCGATGGTGCCAGAATCTGTTACCTGCAATGGTAGGGATGGGGGTATGCAATCGATGACGGGGTGTATCCTCGTGGAAGAGCTGGAAGAGACGAAAAAGGCGATGCAAAATGGGCTTTGGTGGGGCTGGGCTATGTTCTGTGGCTTATGATAGTCGAGTGCCGAGCTAAGTGGAAAATGGGCAAGAAGCAAGGAGGAGCAAGACCACTATGGGCCAACATCATAGACATGCAAATTAGTGTGGTAACCCTATCCAATGGTATGCAAAACCGTCTTACCTCTGTTTGCAAGTTATTGACATGCTGCCCTGAAAGCACGTTCGTTTTTAATTCAAATTTGATCTTTACCGCGCTTGCCTTCGCGCTAAGACGTGATTTCTTCGGGCCAAGAAAAAAATAAAACCCGATCGGAAAGGGATGCGTCAGGGAGGCATCAACCCTAAAAACAATGTCCTTTCCCGTGTTTAGGGTTGATCCCTCCCAGAAATGCGTCCAGGTCCCTAGGGGTTTTATTGTTTTTCTGCCCTGCCCCTACATTTCCCGGTAGCAATATATTGGTCCAAATTAATGTTATCGAAATGGACCCCGTAGCCTTTCATTCCAGTGGATTTTTCGTCACATTTAGCGGAAAATAGTAGCCGGCAGGAATATTTGTTAGGCGCCGAACAAGACGCGGTAAGAACCACGACGATACGAAATCGAAAACGCAACTGATTCAATCCCATATTTTCTTCCTTTTCTGTGCTGCGTCAGCTGTTACACAGTGTTTTGAGTGGCGCTACCAGACAATTTTGCGCAGCAGAACTGGGGTATTTACGGTTTTGCATACCATCGAATAGGGTTACCAGACTAATTTGCATGTCTATGATGTTGGCCCGACCACTATGGCACTTACGCACCCATTTTCTACGTGGCACTTACGTGCGTCTGAGTTTGGTCTGGTGTGAATGGCCCTGCGGAGGGCCAACATCATATTCATGCAAATCAGTCTGGTAACCCTATTCGATGGTATGCAAAACCGTCGATACCCCAGTTCTGCTGCGCAAAATTGTCTGGTAGCGCCACTCAAAACACTGTAACAGCTGACGCAGCACAGAAAAGGAAGAAAATATGTGATAGAATCAGTTGCGTTTTCGATTTCTTATCTTCGTGGTTCTTACCGCGTCTTGTTCGGCGCCTAACAAATATTCCTGCCGGCTACTATTTTCCGCTAAATGTGACGAAAAATCCACTGGATTGAAAGTCTACGGGGTCCATTTCGATAACATTAATTTGGACCAATATATTGCTACCGGGAATTGTAGGGGCAGGGCAGAAAAACAATAAAACCCCTAGCGACCTGGACGCATTTCTGGGAGGGATCAACCCTAAACACGGGAAAGGACATTGTTTTTAGGGTTGATGCCTCCCTGACGCATCCCTTTCCGATCGGGTTTTATTTTTTTCTTGGCCCGAAGAAATCACGTCTTAGCGCGAAGGCAAGCGCGGTAAAGATCAAATTGAATTAAAAACGACGCGCTTTCAGGGCAGCATGTCAATAACTTGCAAACAGAGGTAAGACGGTTTTGCATACCATTGGATAGGGTTACCACACTAATTTGCATGACTATGATGTTGCCCGCCCTGCGGAACAAACACGAGGTTTCTTCTACCAGTTGTCACGAACTCCAGCGCCACTTTGCGCGTCAATTTCCCGTGGATTAGGCCCTTGGGGGCTCACCGTCAAGAAAAGAGTGTAATGCGCGTCGTTCAACTCCCATCTTGACATGTCAAGAACGGTGTGTGGTGGTGCGCTCTTCAGACAAGTCAAGATGGGTGTCGGACGAGCCGCTGCATACGTGGCGAACAGCCGACGGCTTCGCGCAAGCGAAGTGCATCGGCGAAGTTCGCGACTGTGGGCCGTATACTTATGCACGAAGGGATTGGTTTTAGAAAGGCCCGGGCAGATTCACGAGATTCAGTTGGGCAACGACAGTGCTGGAAACAATCGGCTTTTCCCGGCCAGCTATGGCTGGAAACGCCATCACTCTGAGCGGCGGAGGGCGCGGCCCGTCAGTCGCAACTATAGCCTCGCTCGCCGCCGCAGCGACAGCTGTCAGCCTCTCATTGGTCGGACTGCGCTGGCTTCGTCAATGGGCCAAGCGCGCACACACATGCGCGCCGCCCAGCAATGGGCGGCGGCGCTTGTCGTGGCGCAGCGTGTTTACCGGCGAGAAGCACGGCGGTGCGGACGGGAAAGGGAGCGGGAGCGCGTGGCTCATCTGATTCCGCTGGTGGAGCGATCGGCGAGCTCGGGGAAAGTGAAACGGATCGAGCGATTCGGCGAATACGTGGGTGCGTGCGCGGCGTCCGAGTCGCTGACGTAGTAGGGAATGGAGATTAATCGCTAACTTGGTGGGCATATATATCAGTGCATTCTCTTTGAGCGAATGGTAGTCATATCGCTCCAGTCCCAACCCACTGTCGCTCTTCGCCTCCCCTTCTTCCAATCCACATCCTTCCCTGTCTCCTACCCTTTCAAGTCCCTTATTCGAAAGTTTTTCCTTCCCCCTGCCGCCCCTCTCCTTCCCCCTTCCGCCACGCGCCTTCCTCCTCCGCCACGCCCCGACCCCGTTCCGTTCCGCCATTCCCCCTTTTCCCGTCCGCCGCTCCGCTCCCCCCTCCGCCAGTGCGCCAGCTGGGTCTGCCCACGGACCTGGCGGCGGCGGCGCTACTGGCGCAGGCGGCGGAAGACTACGTGCGGGGCGATAAGAGCCGCGCCAACCTTCTCCCTTTTTCGCCCTCCCCTTCCCCATTCCGCCAGTGCGCCAGCTCGGACTCCCCACTGACCTGGCGGCGGCGGCGCTACTGGCGCAGGCGGCGGACGACTACGTGCGGGGCGATAAGAGCGCGTCCGATAAAAGCCGCGCCAACCTGCTCGCGCTCGTCGCGCAGTCGTGGGGCGGGCGCGCGGTGGGGAAGAGGGAGGCGGGAACGGGGTCGGGGGAGGAGGCGGGGATGAGGCAGGTGTCAGAAGCGGAGATGGAGCAGTTGGGGAGGAGCTTACCGCGGAGCTGCACGCGTGCATGCTGTCTTACTTTGGCTTCCACTGGCCGCACTCCGCCCTCATGATTGAACAAGTGGGTGGGCGCAGGGTGGAAAATTGCGGTCAGGAAATTTTCGCTTGGAAAATTTCGGTGGAAAATTTCGGGCAGATTCTGAAAATTTCGGCGAAATTTTGTTGGACCTTCAAAACAATGTCCAAATTTCATGGCGGCGATATGCCAGATATATGCAGAGATCTGGTGCCTAAATGGCAGATCCACCTAGAACTGCCAGCGAAATGTCAGTTCCGCCTAGATCTAGTGGTGAAATGCCAGATCCGCCCGGATCTGGCAGTGAAACGCCAGATATATGCAGAGATCTGGTGCCTAAATGGCAGATCTGCCTAGATCTGGCAGCAAAATGCCAGTAAGATTTGCCCTATCTTTTTTTTTTTTCCCATTTATTCGCATTTTTTTCTATTATTTTATGGAAAATTTCGGACGAAATTTTGCACCATATTGATATATTTTTTTCTGACCGAAATTATCGAAAATTTCGGGGGAAATTTTCGACGGCGAATTTTCCGCCCAATTTTTGAAAAATTCGGCGAAATTTTGCACCCTGGGTGGGCGGGCACGGGCGGGGAGAGGGGCAAGGGGAGGGGAAGAATGAGGCGCCTCAAAGTGGGTGGGAGGCCAGGGAAGGCTTTTTTGGGAATTCTCAAGAATCGCTCACAAGGGAAGGCAAGGCGGGAGATGGATCTTCAAGACAACTGAAAAGTTCTTGGCAGCACATGCATCTCTACCATCCCCGTGCGCCCATCCGTTTGCGCCCATCCCCGTGCGCCCATCCCCCGTGCGCCCATCCCCCTGCAGGTATTCCGCGGCCCAAGCAGCAAGCTGCACTTTAGGGACATCGTCAACGCCGTCATTCGGTGAGCCACCCCTGTCTGTGCGTCTGTGCGTCGGTATGTCTGTGCGTTTTCTGCGTCTGTCTCTGTGTTGTGCGGCTGTGTGTCTGTGCGTCTCCATCCTCTTATCCAAACAGCTGCAATTCACCAACCCCACCTCAGCGCTGAACATGGATGAAAGAAACAGAGTGCGACCAACTGATCTCTCTCCCTTCCTCCCGCCTTGCCATTCTTTCCCATGCAGCCAGCGGCGGTTCAACGAGGCCATAACGCGTCTGCGCCCACAGCAATGATCTTCATCCCCTCCTCACTTCAACCCCTCCCTCCACTTCCCCCCACCCCATCCCGCCCTTGCAGGCAGCGGCGGTTCAACGAGGCCATAGAGCGTCTGCGCCCGCAGCAGCGCTTCTCCCAGCTGCTGCACAAGATGCAGATCCTCGGCTGTGGCCCCCGCCCTGGGGGAGCGGGGGGAGCGGGGGGAGCGGGGGAGCGGGGGAGCGGGGGAGCGGGGGAGCGGGGGGAGCGGGGAGAGCGGGGGGAGCGGGGAGAGCGGGGGGAGGGGGGGGAGGTGGGGAACAGCGGGAGTGGAGGGGGCGGGAGGAGCAGTGGGAGCGGAAGGAGCGGGGAAAGTGGGGCAAGCAGGAGAGAGCAAAGGGGGGCCGGGCAAGGGGAAGCGAGGCAAGGGGGATTGGGTGAGGAGGGCAGTAGATCAGAGGGGAATGAGCTAGTGAGTACTGGCTGTGAGGGTGGTATCGGCTGTGAGGGTGGTAATGACCGTGAGAGTGGCTCCTACTCCCCCCCTCACTCTATCTTCCAATTCCCCACTTCCTCCCCTTCCAACTCCCCATCTCACTCCCCCTCTCACTCGCCCTCTCACTCCCCGTCTCGCGCGCTCGCTCGCCCTTCCACCCGCGCGCGTCGAGTGTGGAGGTCCCGAGGGAGGGGGAGGTGATGGTGCCGGCAGCAGCAGCAGTGCGCCCCCCCGTGCTGCTGCTGATTGGGGGAGGCGCAGGTGCTGGCAAGTCAACGTGGTCAAGGAGATCATGAAACGGTGAGAGGGAGTGCTGCGAGGGACAGAGCGATGGGACGGGGTGTTGAGGGATGGAGTGGGGTGTAGAGGGATACAGTGCTTGCGCTGGCAAGTCAACGGTGTTCAAGGAGATAATGAAACGTCTTCAAGAAAAAGGTCGCAATCTTCCCAGCACTCTCCTTTGCTTCTTCTTTTCTCCTTCCGCCCCTCCCTTCTCCCCCCTCCCCTCTCCCCCCTTCCCCCTCCCCCCCGCAGCCCCTTTTGGGCGCGCATGGCGCCACACGCAGTGGTGGTTGATTCCGATGCCTTCAAGGAGAGAAATGCAATCTTCCGAGCTCTCTCAGCTGACAGGCTGTGTGACGCTACCCAGATCTCACAGCTGGTCCACGAGGAGTCAACCCGGGCAGCACAGTCAACGCTGGTAACCGCGCTGAACGAGGGGCGCGACGTGATATTCGACGGGACCATGTCGTGGGCCCCGTTTGTGCAGCAGACGATCGCGATGGCGAGGCGGGTGCACGAGAGGCGGTTTCGGATGGGGCCGGGGTACCAGGTGAAGGAGGATGGGAGTGTGGTGGAGCGGTATTGGGAGGAGGAGGAGGAGGAGGAGGAGGAGGAGGGGAGTGAGGGAGAGGTGAAGAAGGGGAGGGGGGGCTATTGCAGCAGCGAAAAGTGGCAGGGGCAGGGACAGGGACAGGGGCAAAGGCAGGGGAAGCGGAAGGGGAAGGGGGGCATGGAGGGGATGGAAGGGAGGCGGCAGGGAGGGAGGATGTGGTGGGAGAGGAGGGGGCGGCGGGGGAGGCGGGGAGCCGCGGCTGCCGTACCGCATTGAGCTGGTGGGCGTGATGTGCGATACCCACCTGGCTGTTGTTCAAGCCATGCGGTGTGTTTTCCGGTCGACTCAAAAGTCTTGTTTTTTTTCTCTCTCTCTCAAGTCATGGGGTGAGGCCGGTCTGACCAAGAGGGGGAGTGCCAGTGCACGAGCAGCTGCGGGCGCACAAGCTGTCCCGCTCACCCCACGCCCTTTCTTTCCACATCTTCCCTGCCCCACTCCGGCCCTTCTTGTCATCCCAGGCGAGCCATCCTAACAAAGAGGGGAGTGCCGGTGCACGAGCAGCTGAGGTCGCACAAGCTGTTTGCCAGCAGTGTGCAGGCGTACTGTGACCTCGTGGACGGGCCACACTTTATTCGACTAACCACATGGGGGGCCCGCCTCAGGTTAGTGGAAGTTGATGCAAGTCAACGTGAGTCAGCGCCATTCAATGCGAGTACAGCAGTGTGGAGGCGTACTGAGACCTCGTTGATGTGGCTACTCTCTGCTCCACCAACCACATCTTAGGTCCCACCACAGGTAAGTTAGTGGGAGTCAACGTGAGTCAATGCGAGTCAATTCAAGTGAAACAAGATTTTCAAGTTACTCTTTACTTTTCTCTACGTGTATCTCTAAAGCGTCTTTGCTGCCTGTCTATCAACCTCCTTATCTTGAACCGCCCAGCACTAATCCCTCTTCTTTCCGCCAAACCCTCCCTCCCTCTTTTCTCTCCCCTCTTTCCCTTCCTCCCTCCCTCCCTCCCTCCCTCCCTCCTTCCCTCCCTCCCTCCCCCTCCCCCCCCCTCCCTCCCTCCCTCCCTCCTCCCTCCCCCCTCCCTCCCCCTCCCTCCTTCCCTCCCTCCCTCCCTCCCTCCCTCCCTCCCTCCCTCCCTCCCTCCCTCCCTCCCTCCCTCCCTCCCTCCCTCCCTCCCTCCCTCCCTCTCTCCCTCCCTCCCTCCCTCTTTCCCTCCCCTCCCTCCCTCCCTCCCTCCCTCCCTCCCTCCCTCCCTCCCTCCCTCCTCCCTCCCTCCCTCCCTCCCTCCCTCCCTCCCTCCCTCCCTCCCTCCGTCTTCCCTCCCTCCCTCCGTCTTCCCTCCCTCCCTCCGTCTTCCCTCCCCACCAGCTCATTCGCTCCCTCCAGGAGCGCACCAACCACTGCTAGGTCACAGACCCGCGTGACTTAACCCGACCAGAACTAACCCCCCTCCGCTTCCTCCCGTTCCACAATCCCTCCCTCCCCGCCAGCTCATTGGCTACAAGGAAGGCACGTCACCCCCCAGGAGCGCACCAACCACCCCACCCTCCACTCCAACCGGCAGAAGCACACCTCCTATACGAACACCCATTACAGTCACACCGCCTACAAGCACGCCCCCCAGCACGGGCGCCATCTGCAGTGGGGGGGTGTGCAGCCACCTGCTGGTTGACTCAGCAGCATTCCATTTAGTCTCCGACTTGAAACGCGTCAACCCTCGCGCCTCCTGCGTTCTCGAGCTTTACTTCAAGGAGGGGGAGGGGGATGGGGGAGAGGAAGGGAAGGGGGACGGGGGAAGCGGGGGCAGAAGAAACCACTGGTGGCTGCCCGAATGGTGGTTGTCCTTCTGGCGCTGGGGAAAAGGGGGGGCGCGGGCAGGCGAAGAAAAATTTGTGCCGGGCAGCACGTGGAGGGAGGTGGTGCTGGCGGAGGAGCGGGCGGCGCGGCAGGCTCGACTGAGGGAGGCGTTTACTGAGCTGCAGGCGTGCCTGTGGCCGGCAGCTCAGGTCAACCAAGGCATCACCTCCTCCACCAGCTTCACCTCCCTGCCCTCCCTGCCTTCCCTGCCTTCCTCCCTCGCTTCCTCCCCACGCCATCCCCCTCCTCCTGCTCCTCCTTCTCCTCCTGCTCCTCCTTCCACTTCCTCCTCCGTCTCCGCCTCCTACTCCTCCTCTGCTTCCTTGCCCGGCCCTGTCAACTCAGCAGAGCGAAACGACTCAGCAGAGCGAATCGACTCAGCTGAGCGAAACGACTCAGCAAAGCACATCCACTCAGCAGCGCCTGAAGACCCGGAGCATCCTATGGGCTCTAGAAATTCAAAGCCAGATGGTGCTCTTAGGGGTAGGACTGATTATTATAGTCTCGGTACCTACTGCTGCCCTGTTGCCCTGGAAAGCAAGAGCAGGAGCCCGAGCCTCGAGCTTCGGCTCCAGTTGCTTCGGAAACAGCCTCGGGAGTCCGAGCCTCAGACAGGTCACAGACTTGTCTCCTTCCACTGATGACGTATTGCTATATCTCTCAATGATGTGAAGCGCACGGTATGTGTATTGAAACTTGTGTGCCGTAAATGTGCCTTCCGGGTTAAGTTACGTCCTGTTGGTGCAAGCATCTCGTTTGTGTTTCCATATACAGATTCAAATGTTGTTAATCTATAATGAACATAGAAGAAACATCCAATAAAGAGATCACATGACCAGTAACAAGCAACATACTGCGAGGATGTCTAGAGAAAGGGTGCACCAGAATAATCAATTGTCTTTCCCCGGCCAGTTATGGCTGGAGGCAGCATCACTCTGAGCGGGGGAGGGCGCGGCTCGTCAGTCGCAACCATAGCCGCGCTCGCCGCCGCAGCGACAGCTGTCGGCCTCTCATTGGTCGGACTGCGCGGGCTGCGCCAATGGGCCAAGCGCGCACACAAATCCGCTCCGCTCAGCGGCGGGCGGCGGGCCTTGTCGTGGCGCAGCGTGTTTACCGGCGAGAAGCACGGCGGCGCGGAAAGGGAGCGGGAGCGCGTGGCTCAGTTAGTTCCGCTGGTGGAACGATCGGCGAGTTCGGGGAAAGTGAAACGGATCGAGCGATTCGGCGAATACGTGGGTGCGTGCGCCACGATGCGTGCGCCGCGATGCGTGCGCCACGATGCGTGCGAGTCGCTGACATAGTGAGGATGGAGATCTAAGGAGACGAGTAGACAATACGTTCTAGTCTTAACCCATTCTCCCTCCTCCCCCGCCTTTTCCGAATCTGTCTCCTTCCGTGTTTCCGTCCGCCCCACTCCGTCCCCCTTCCGCCACGCCCCATTCCCCTTCCGCTAATTTCCTTCCCCTTCCGCCACACTCCTTATCCTTCCGCCCGTCCGCTTCCCCCGTGCGCCAGTGCGCCAGCTGGGCCTCCCCACGGACCTGGCGGCGGTGGCGCTACTGGCGCAGGCGGCGGACGACTACGTGCGGGGCGATAAGAGCGCGTCCGATAAGAGCCGCGCCAACCTGCTCGCGCTCATCGCGCAGACAGGGGGAGGGCGCGCGGAAGGGGAGGCGGAGGCGGGGGCGGGGGCGGGGGAGGAGCTGGGGGAGGAGCTGATCGCGGAGTTGGACGCGTGCATGCTGTCTTACTTTGGCTTCCACTGGCCGCACTCCGCGCTCATGATCGAACAGGTGGGTGGGCGGTGGGGAGGGAAGTGGGAGGGGGAAAAGGGGCTGGGAGGAAGGGCGTAGGGGAGGGGAGGGATGGGACTCAGCAGCCACTGGCCGCACTCCGCCCCCATGATCGAACAGGTGCGTGGGGAGGGGGAGGGGATGGGAGGGGCGGGGCGGGGAGGGGAGGGGAGGGGAGGGGAGGGGAGGGGAGGGAAGGGGAGGGGAGGGGAGGGGGGAGCAGTGGGGTGGTCGGGGTGGGAAGGTAGAGCCATCCATGATGCTTCCACTGGGCGCTCTCCGCGCTCATGACCCAACAGGTGGAGCACGCTTGCTCAAGGACATTCCACCGAGCACGCTTGTGAGTGTAAGTGCGCATGCCCTGCCCATCCCCGTGCGCCCATCCCCGTGCGCCCATCCCCGTGCGGCCCCCCATCCATCCATACAGGTCTTTCGAGGCCCGAGCAGCAAGCTTCACTTGCGGGACGCCGTCAACGCTGTCATTCGGTGAGTGAGTGAGTGAGTGAGTGAGTGAGTGCACGCACTGCAAGCCTTTTTAGAAAAGCAGCTGTCTGTGCTGCCCTCCCTCCGTCCTCGTCCCCGCATGAGCTGCAGCTAGTTGCCGCACCTCCCTGCGTTACGCTGTGCCAGGAATTTTTTTGATTGTTACAGTCAAACTATTATTGTTATTCGTACTAAAAATATATAAGTATATTTATATATTATGTCCCCACCTCGCCCCCATGCAGGCAGCGGCGGTTCAACGAGGCCATAACGTGTCTGCGCCCGCAGCAGCGCTTCTCCCAGCTGCTGGAAGAAATGAAGGTCCTCGGCTGCGGTCCCGGCCAGGGGGGAGCGGGGGGAGTGGGGCAAGGGAGAGTGGGCGAGGGGGAAGTGAGGCAAGGGGGAGTGGGCGAGGGGGGATTCAGTTCAAAGGGCAGCAGTAAGGCAGAGGGCAGAGAGGGAGTGGGTAATGGTCCTGCGAGTGGCAGTCCCACCACCCACTCTCCCCCTCACCCCCTCTTCCACTTCCCCACTTCCTCCCCCTCTCGCTCTCCATCCCACTCTCCCTCCCGCTCTCCTTCGCACCCTCACTCCCCGTCGCATGCTCGCTCGCCTTCTCACGCACGTCCCTCGAGTGTGGAGGTCCCGAGGGAGGGGGAGGTGATGGTGCCGGCAGCAGCGGCGGTGCGCTCGCCCGTGCTGCTGCTGATTGGGGGGGGCATGGGTGCTGGCAAGTCAACAGTTGTGAAAGAAATCATGAAACGGTGAGTTGGGGTATGGAGTGAGTGTTTGGCTGAGAGTTTTGCTGAGAGTTTGGCTGAGCGGCGGTGCGCTCGCCCGTGCTGCTGCTGATTGGTGGCGGCATGGGTGCTGGCAAGTCAACCGTGGTCAAGGAAATCATGAAACGGTGAGGGGAGAGGAGGAGGAGTGCTGCGAGAGACAGAGAGATGGATTGTGGTGTTGACCGATAGAGTGAGGGCGTAAACTATGGAAAAGGACGCAATCTTCCCAGCGCTCTCTCCCCACTACTATCCCCCTATACTCCTCCCTTCTGCTTCCCCGTTCCCCAGCACCTGTTGAGCCTGCATGGCCCCACATGCAGTGGTCGAGGTGACGCCGCCCCCCTTCTCCTTTTCCATCCCTCCCCACCTCTCAGCACCTTTTGGGCGCGCATGGCGCCACACGCAGTGGTGGTGGAAGCCGACGCGTTTAAAGAAAAGGACGCAATCTTCCGAGCTCTCTCAGCGGACCGTCTAAGCGACGCCGCTCGGATCTCACAGCTGGTGCACGAGGAGTCAACCCGTGCGGCGCAGTCAACGCTGGTAACCGCGCTGAACGAGGGGCGCGACGTGATATTCGACGGGACCATGTCGTGGGCCCCGTTTGTGCAGCAGACGATCGCGATGGCTAGACGCGTGCATGAGAAGAGGTTTAGGATGGGTCCAGGGTATCAGGTGAAAGAGGATGGGAGTGTGGTGGAGCGGTATTGGGAGGAGGTGGAGGAGGAGGGGAGTGAGGGAGGGGTGGAGAAGGGGAGGGAGGGAGATGGTGGAGAGGAGGTGGGGAGCGAGAGAGGGGAGGAGGTCGATGGGAGGAGGGATAAGCCAGCGAAAGAGAAAGAGGAGCAGGATTGGGCGTCGAGTGAACGGGAGGAGCAGTACCGACCCAAGAGGCACAGCAGCCCAAGAAGGGCGTTGGGATCGGGTGGGGCAGTGAAGACAGGGAGAGGCTCGGGCGGGCGCTCAGGCTGCTCTTCTGGTCCTAAGGGGCAGGCGAATGGGGTTGTGGAGGGGATGGAAGGGAGGCGGCAGGGAGGGGGGATGTGGTGGGAGAGGAGGGGGGAGAGGAGGGGCGGGGAGCCGCGGCTGCCGTACCGCATTGAGCTGGTGGGCGTGATGTGCGATGCGCACCTGGCGGTGGTGCGCGGCATGCGGTGAGTCGACTAAAAGTCAACCTTCTTTTTTAGTCAACTGAAGAAGGGGCAGAGGGGAGGCAGTGAGCACCGGCTGCCGTGCTGCAGTGAGCACCGGCTGCCGTGCTGCAGTGAGCACCGGCTGCCGTGCTGCAGTGAGCACCGGCTGCCGTGCTGCAGTGAGCACCGGCTGCCGTACTGCAGTGAGCACCGGCTGCCGTGCTGCAGTGAGCACCGGCAGCTGGTGGGCGTGAGCTGGTGGGCGTGAGCTGGTGGGCGTGAGCTGGTGGGCGTGAGCTGGTGGGCGTGAGCTGGTTTGCGTGAGCTGGTGGGCGTGAGCTGGTGGGCGTGAGCTGGTGGGCGTGAGCTGGTGGGCGTGAGCTGGTGGGCGTGAGCTGGTGGGCGTGAGCTGGTTTGCGTGAGCTGGTGGGCGTGAGCTGGTGGGCGTGAGCTGGTGGGCGTGAGCTGGTGGGCGTGAGCTGGTGGGCGTGAGCTGGTGGGCGTGAGCTGGTGGGCGTGAGCTGGTGGGCGTGAGCTGGTGGGCGTGATGCGCGATGCGCGCCTGGCTGTTGTGAGTGGCATGCAGTGAGGCATGGAAGGGTCGCGGCTTGGGGTAGGGCATGGGGATGTGCATGGGTATGTGTGAGGTACGGACGGTGTGGGGCATGGGGCATGGGGCATGGGGGATGAGTGCGGCACAGGGGTAATGCATGAGGTGATGGTGCACGAGTAGCTTAGATGGCACATCTTGTCTCCATCTTCCCACCCCTTTGAACCTTCCTTCCCGCCATCCCAGGTGGGGCGACCCGTCCTAACAAAGAGAGGAGTTCCAGTGCATGAGCATCTGCGGTCGCACACCCGGTCCCACCTCCCCCCACCCGCTTTCCCATCCCACCCCCTGTCTTTCCACATCTTCCCTGCCCCACTCCGGCCCTTCTTGTCATCCCAGGCGAGCCATCCTAACAAAGAGGGGAGTGCCGGTGCACGAGCAGCTGCGGTCGCACAAGCTGTTTGCCAGCAGTGTGCAGGCGTACTGTGACCTCGTGGACGTGGCCACACTTTATTCGACTAACCACATGGGGGGGCCGCCTCAGGTGGGTCAACAGAAGTCAATGTGAGTCAATGCGTGCGTAGGCGTACTGTGACCTCGTGGAAGTGGCTACTCTCTACTCCACTAACCACATGGGGGGGCCTCCACAAGTGAGTCAACGCCAGTCAATGCTAGTAGAGCAGTGTGGAGGCGTACTGAGACCTTGTTGATGTGGCGACTCTTTACTCCACTAACCACATCGGTGGGCCGCCTCAGGTGAGTCAACGGGAGTCAATGTGAGTCAAGGCTAGTCAATGCCAGCTAATGCAGGTGAATGAATGCGTTCTTTGCTTGCCGGCTTTCAGAATAGCTTTCACTTGAACCTGCACTCCTCTCTTTCTACACCCTCCCCACCAGCTGATTGGCTACAAGGAAGGCACATCACCCCCCAGGAGCGCACCAACCACCCCACCCTCCACTCCAACCGGCAGAAGCACACCTCCTATACGAACACCCATTACAGTCACACCGCCTACAAGCACGCCCCCCAGCACGGGCGCCATCTGCAGTGGGGGGGTGTGCAGCCACCTGCTGGTTGACTCAGCAGCATTCCATTTAGTCTCCGACTTGAAACGCGTCAACCCTCGCGCCTCCTGCGTTCTCGAGCTTTACTTCAAGGAGGGGGAGGGGGATGGGGGAGAGGAAGGGAAGGGGGACGGGGGAAGCGGGGGCAGAAGAAACCACTGGTGGCTGCCCGAATGGTGGTTGTCCTTCTGGCGCTGGGGAAAAGGGGGGGCACGGGCAGGCGAAGAAAAATTTGTGCCGGGCAGCACGTGGAGGGAGGTGGTGCTGGCGGAGGAGCGGGCGGCGCGGCAGGCTCGACTGAGGGAGGCGTTTACTGAGCTGCAGGCATGCCTGTGGCCGGCAGCTCAGGTCAACCAAGGCATCACCTCCTCCACCAGCTTCACCTCCCTGCCCTCCCTCCCTTCCCTGCCTTCCCCCCTCGCTTCCTCCCCACGCCACCCGCCTCCCCATCCTCCTTCCGCTTCCTCCTCCTCCCTCTCTGCCTCCTCCCCCTCTGCTTCCCTGGCCCGCCGTGTCGACTCAGCAGGACGAAACGACTCAGCAGCGCCTGAAGACCCAGAGCATCCTATAGGCTCAATACACAGTAAGCCAGATGGTACCGTAGATGAAGATAGGGATGAAGATGCAGGTCAGAATGGTACCTACTGTTGCCCTGTTGCCTTGGAATCACCAGAGCTGGAGCCGGAGCCCCGAGCCTCGGCGCCGGTAGCCTCAGACAAACCTGTCTCGTATAACTGATGTGCTCCATCTAAATGGTGTATACAGTGTAGGTGCACTGAAGCTTGTGCACATGCGCATGTGTGCTTAGGGCATATAAAGACTGCCTTATCTGTATGTGTGTTTGGATGAGTACAGTACAAGGGGTCTTTTAATCTCAAAGGCACAGACAACACCGTATCTGGGAAGCGCCTTCTGCACCCATTTCGTTTGATTTACGTAGAGGGAGGAGAGGAGAGCCCCTTGGGCTTAGCCGCCTAACTACAGTATACAAGCCTCCCAATATTAACATGACATGACATGACATTAAGCATTGTTCGACTAATATCGAGGATCAGCCCCTCACCACCTTTCTCAATCACCAGCCAAATTCCATGAGGGACTTTGCCAGATCCTATCGTAGTAGTCGCAGTGTCGATTTACATCGGGGCTTCAACTCCAGCCCAGTCGTATAGCGTCGATACTCTGCTGTGCTTGCTCTCACATCAACGGCCTCTTGAATCTCTCCAGCCAGCATGATTCGACACGACTACCGCGGATTCGGCATCCCGCCCGGGCCGCCGCAACTCCCGGAAATGTTCCACGGGCCCACGTGCAGTCACGGCAAGGTTAGAGAGGGCGAGAAGGTGGTTTCCGGCAGCGAGCGCGCAGGCGTCATGTGCGGCCCGATGGTTCCCGTGGATTCCGGACTAGATCCGATCAAGCACACGCAGTGAGTGCTTTCGTAGGGAGGTCGGATTATTCGCAGGGACGGATGCTCTTTGCATGTGAGATCTTCATTCATTATTCATTCACGGCTGATTACCTTTCGAGATGTAAGAGATTGTCGAGTGGTCCGATCGTACTCTTATAGTCACCGTACGGCATCTGAGTCACCTTATGTCGGCTCGTGCTCTCACGGAATTTGTGAATTTTTCAAAGATTCACAATCTGTTCACTGACAACTCACGTCAAATGATCCTGGATTATGCCAAAATGCTCCCAACGCCTACCTTCTAACTCGTCCCGTGCGAATCATCGCGTTCCCGCATCTTCCCCGTGTCCCATGCATGTGTGCGCACGCGCGTCGGTCGCAGGTACCCGTACGTGACGGGCGCGTCGGTGCTGGCGATGAAGTACAAGGACGGCATTATCATGGCGGCTGACACCATGGGTGAGTCAGCAGATGCCACTTTTGAGACAGGGACGGCTGTGCTCCCCTAGACAGGGGCTCCGCAACTCCTCCCCCTCCCTCCCCCCATGACCTGTCGTGGGTATCAGTGTCGGTGCTGGCGATGAAGTACAAGGACGGCATCATCATGGCGGCTGACACCATGGGTGAGTCAGCACATGTGATGGCCGGAATGTGCATGGTTGTTGTAGCATGGATATCAGTGTCGGTGCTGGCGATGAAGTACAAGGACGGCATCATCATGGCGGCTGATACCATGGGTGAGTCAGCAGATGCCATGGGTGAGTCAGCAGATGCCATGGGTGAGTCAGCAGATGCCATGGGTGAGTCAGCAGATGCCATGGGTGAGTCAGCAGATGCCATGGGTGAGTCAGCAGATGCCATGGGTGAGTCAGCAGGTGCCATGGTTGAGTCAGCAGTTGCCATGGGTGAGTCAGCAGATGCCATGAGAGAATCATCATGGGTGCTCTTACCGTGGGAATCAGTTTCAATGAGGTATCTACCACTTTCTCTCGTTCCCCCACTGACGCCCCTAACCCTTTCAGGACTGTACGGGGGCTCAATGCGGTACAAGTCGGTGCAGCGCATGCAGCAGGTGGCGCATCTGCCGCCACTGAATCCTGTTCCCCCCTTTCCCTTTCTGCCTCCCTCTTTCTTCCTCAACCCCCAATCCAACGCCCTGACCCAACCCCCCTTTCAGGAGCGTACGGGTGCACAATGCGACACAAGTCTGTGCAGTGCATGCAGCAGGTGGCGCCTCCGCCCTCACTCACTGAATCCTATTTCCTTCTCACCGTCCCACCTCGTTCAGGAGCATACGGGCGTACAATGCGGTACAAGTCGGTGGAGCGCATGCAGCAGGTGGCGCCTCACACGGTGATGGGCGCTGGAGGGGAGATCAGCGATTTCCACTTCATCCTCTCACTCTACGAGGAACTCCTGTAAGACTAAATGTCATGATTTTATATCTATCTTGATTTTATACATAATTTCTTATGAAGATGCCTTTCTCTCACCTTCCTTTCCTCTCCACCCCACCCCTTCTCACCTCCTGTGTCAGCACGAACGATTATGCATATGACGACGGGCATGTGCTGTCGACGCGCGAGGTCTTCAACTACATGACGCGAGTCATGTACAACCGCCGCAACCGCTTCCTATGCATGTTCTTTCCCCTTTCTCCCCTCCCTGCTTCCCACAGCACAAACGACTATGCATTTGACGACGGGCACGTGCTGTCCACGCGAGAGGTGTTCAACTACATGACGCGAGTCATGTACAACCGCCGCAACCGCTTTGACCCGCTCTGGAACTCCATTGTCATCGGGGGGCTGGACAAGGGCGAACCGTTCCTCGGCTCGGTGAGACGCGTTATGAGGCGCCTCAGTACATTTTTTGTATTTGTTTTGTGAGGCGCTTAGATTACGCAACCGCTTTGGCCCGCTCTGGAACTCCATTGTCATTGGTGGCCTCGACAAGGGCGAGCCCTTCCTTGGCTCGGTAAGATGCTCATAAGATCCCTTTGTGAGGCGCTTCACTTGTTTCTTGTGCTCTCTGTCGGTGATCCTGTCTCTTTATTTAAACTCTTGCTGCTTGTTCCAGTCTCCACCTTGCAGGCCTTGGCACTACACAGACAACCACATTGCATGCTTGGAAAATGACAACTCTTTCGCATGCCCCGACCACCACTCGAATCCCTACCCATGCACACACCCCTCTTGCAGGTGACGATGATCCGGGTGCATCACACAGACGACCACATAGCAACGGGGTTTGGCAGCCACCTGGTGCGCCCTCTCTTCCTCCCCTCCATCCTCCCCCCCTCCATCACCTCCCTCCCCCTTCCGTGCACTTCATTTCCCTCGCAGGTAACGATGATTGGCGCGCACTACACGGACGACCACATTGCAACGGGCTTTGAAATGTGGCCAAGATTTTGCATTCCCCGTCCTCTCCCCTCCACACCTCCCATGCACTTCATTTCCCTTGCAGGTGACGATGATCGGAGTGCACTACACGGACGACCACGTAGCAACGGGGTTTGGCAGCCACCTGGTGCGCCCGCTGTTCCGCAACGAGCACCGCAACGACATGAGTGAGGAGGAGGCAGTCAAGCTGCTGGAGAAGGGGCTGAGGGTGCTGTACGCCCGCGACAGCAGCGCGCTTAACAAATTCCAGGTGTGTCTACCCTGTACTTTACAAATTTTGCTCTTTTTTTTTTTTGTCTCTGGTTTGAGCATTGCACCAATTATGTTACGGTATGATGTGGTTTGTCCGTGCAGATTTCGAAAGTAACAGCAGAGGGGGTGACAATATCGAAGCCATTTGCACTGAACATTGAGTGGAACTACGCACATTTTCAGAACGCGGTGCCTGATAAATACAGTGGTTCTTGGTAGCAAAGCAGGCCTCTTATACCAAGCGCATACATGCTTTAGTGGATGCCCATGATGACGATCATGCTGATGCTCGCTCTTTAACGTTCTGTATGCCGTAATACCTACGTTGAATGCATGTATGTACAGTAGAGGAAAGGAGTCTCTTCTCAAAACTGATGCTGACTAATCCGGTTCAGTGAAAATCAGGTTGCGATTGAGTACTCAATTTTTGGGAAATGGGCCTCAGACTAAAAAACTTTGGGGGGGCAAAAGAATCAGAGTGGTTTTATTTGAATAGTCAGCCCTGTTGCGGTGGGACCTGAGGCGCGGGAATATCTTGTCCGAGGCGCAGGCATCCCTTCAGCTCTCACCTTGCACAAGGTGGATTAGAGAGCAAGGTGAGAGCTGTGAATCGCGCTTTGCCTTGAGTGGTCAGAGATGTTGATTGTTGCCAGGACAAAACGAGTGACAGGCCACCATATTGATGTACTGTCACCAGGCTCTTATGCATGGTAATGCAACTTCCACCACAAAACATGTTACGAATAGTAACATTTGATATTACTGTGCACTCCTCACCGCAGCAAAGAGAAGCATGTTAGAATATATATTTATATATATTTATGTACCTGCCTGTAGCTGTAGCTTTAGTGTAGTTATAAACTCTTTGTATTGGTGGTGCACCTCCTTTGTCTCCTATTTGTACCCTCGAGCCTATAGTGAACCCCCCTTCTTTCTCGACATTCCACTCTCTCGCCACTCTCCTAGGTTCCTAACCTAGCCTAGCTTCTTGACATGGTGTCAGAGATGGTTCTTTCCTAGAACCTTCTCTTTTTTTTTTTTTAAGTAACATGGGCCCGCCTTTCCTGCAGCGCGAAATGCGCTACTTTTTTCTTCGTCCCGTCGCGCTCTTCGGCCGTCGCGTCCGTCGTCCCGCGGCCTCCGTTCCGTCGCCCCGCGGCCCCCCCGTTTCGTCGCCCCGCGGCCCCCCGTTCCCGTCGCCCGCGGCCCCCCGTTTCGTCGCCCCGCGGCCCCCCGTTCCCGTCGCCCGCGGCCCCCCGTTCCCGTCGCCCACGGCCCTCCGTTCCGTCGCCCCGCGGCCCCCCGTTCCCGTCGCCCGCGGCCCCCCGTTCCCGTCGCCCGCGGCCCCCCGTTCCCGTCGCCCGCGGCCCCCCGTTCCCGTCGCCCGCGGCCCCCCGTTCCCGTCGCCCGCGGCCCCCCGTTCCCGTCGCCCGCGGCCCCCCGTTCCCGTCGCCCGCGGCCCCCCCGTTCCCGTCGCCCGCGGCCCCCCGTTCCCGTCGCCCGCGGCCCCCCGTTCCCGTCGCCCGCGGCCCCCCGTTCCCGTCGCCCGCGGCCCCCGTTTCGTCGCCCCGCGCCCCCCTTTCGTCGCCCCGCGCGGACGCCAGCGCCACGGCCAGCCGCGAGCGCCAGCGCGGCCCGCCAGCGTAGACGCCAGCCGCCAGCGCCTGCGCCACCATCAGCGCCAGCAGCAGCTACCGCCGCCCCACCCCCCCGCCCTCCCTTCCGCGGCTTCTGTAGTGGAGGGGGGGGGGGAAGGGGGAAGGGGAGATGTGGGGGCGGCGGGTGTGAGCCTCCAGCAATCCGTCCCTCCCCTCTCTCCTCCTCTTTTCCTGCAGCACTAGTTGCTGTAGGAGAAAGGGGGGGGGGGGATGAGAGATGCTAAGGGAGGGTAAGAGAGAGTGGTGGAACCAATAGCCACGCATCTGCAGCTGCCTGCTATGTGGCACCTACTTCTGCAGCCCCTGACGCTTCTCTCTCTTCGTTCGTCTTCTTTGCTGTTGAGCTGCAAACTAAGCGCGCCACAGCACATTGTCTTCGTTCGTCTTCTTTGCTGTTGAGCTGCAAACTAAGCGCGCCACAGCACATCGTCTTCGTTCTCTCTTTCTTGCCTCAGGGCTTGCTGCAGCTGTCTCTGCCACCACTGCACTGGTTGTCATTGCACTTGCCTCCTGTTGCTGCTTTCTCTGTTCGTGGTGTACCCATCCAGGAGTTGTTGCTGCACAAGCTCCTGCTGCAGGCAGTTATGGGGGAGTGTTAGAATATATATTTATATATATTTATGTACCTGCCTGTAGCTGTAGCTTTAGTGTAGTTATAAACTCTTTGTATTGGTGGTGCACCTCCTTTGTCTCCTATTTGTACCCTCGAGCCTATAGTGAACCCCCCTTCTTTCTCGACATTCCACTCTCTCGCCACTCTCCTAGGTTCCTAACCTAGCCTAGCTTCTTGACAAAGCACGCAGTAACGGGAATGAACGCGAACCGTCAGACGGTTGGAATTGACTCGAAGCGACGGACAGTTGGAACGCATCTGGACCGTCGGAAGCAGACGGCATCGGGCAGCTGCAGGCAGGATGGTTTTGGCGGGAACAGTTACGAAACTGTACGCGCCGCACGGTTGGGAGTGAATTTGAATAAGGGAATGTACCCCTTAGAGTACATGGCTAGTTAGGTCTTTTCGTATTCCCTTGTACTCTTATTTATATGACCTTGTTTGCATGTTTTTATCATCTCAAGCATTTACATTCACTCTGCTATTGAGGTCAAGGGCCCACCAACTATTTCACTGCGTGCGAACCTTCCTGGGTAGATCCCGGGCTACGATCAACTTCTGATCGCAGCATGGTATGAGAGCGGCTCAGGAATCCTTCGCACTGCCACTCCCGAAAATTACGACATTCGGAAAGTGGCGTCCGGCACACGCTCACGAGTGAAGATGGCCGGAGGATCTGGTGGTCAAACTAATCTGACGGCTGAAGCGCAACCCAACCCGGCTGCGACAAGCGAGAACACGACGACAGTCAGCTCCGAAGTTCTCGCACAACTTCTTCAGCGACTCACCAGCTTGGAGCAAGGGCTCCAAACATTGCGGAATGGCGATGCGGGAACATCCTCGCAACCCTCTCAACCGGCCCCGACTGGCCAGAACACCACTCCGCAAACTTTCTCCCTCGACACCAATGGCTCAACCCCCAAGACTCCCCGTCCCAGTGAAGAGGCAATTCTCTCCGCTCAATCAAGGTTTCTCAGCATATCAAAAATAAAGACAAGTACCTGTTTTGACGGCAGAGACTTTTACACCTGGAGCTTCGAGCTGGAGCTCCTGCTTCAGAACGCCCAGATCTTCCACTATTTCGACGGGAGTTACGCGGAGCCTGCTGAGGACACCGACGACGCCAAGGCGCGGTATTACAACGAGTCGCTGATGGCGTACGGGGTGCTCCTGCGGAATATGTCGGCGGCGGAGCAGCTCAACATTCGTTCATACAAAACCACAGCTGCTCCAGCCCTTAACGCTTGGCGGCACCTGACAGGAGTCTATCAGCCCAAGGACTCTGTCTCTTCGAGCCGACTACTCCAGGAACTCCTGGAAACTAAGATGACCGCAGGGGAGAAGGTCAACAACTACCTTAATCGCTGTCGGAGCCTTCGCGACCAAATCGTGAAGCTAGGAAGCACAATCTCAGAGGAGATCTTCGTCAACATCGTGCTTCAAGGGCTTGGCCCAGAGTGGCGGCCCTGCAAGGCGTCACTCCGACAGCAGGGGGTCATCTCGGAGGCCGCCCTTTGCGCCGCCCTTCTCGTCGAACAAAGGGATATGGACCAGCAGCGACCAGCGCCGCGACGAGAACGCGAACGGCTCGCCTTCTACGCCGACAACACTGAAGAGCGAAAGCCACGGCGCCTCTACTGCAAGATCTGCAGAAATTTCGGGCACCTGGCGGATCGATGCAAGAACCGATCCCGCCCTCGCCAGACCAATCCGAGCACCTGGTCCAGCTGTCAAGATGCACGAGGCGACGTGCGTCCTGCCCAGGGGTATCAACCCCCTCCCGCGCGCAACCTGAACCCAGCGGTTCAGCATCAGCAGCAGCAGCCGTCACCGACTGCCCCAACCCGCAATGTCATGAGCAACATGGCCATGACAGGCGAATCGCGTCGTCGCCGTGTCCGCTCGCCTTCACCTGAGCCGGCACCGCACCCAATTGGCGCGTTCACCAACAACAACCCGTTTAGTCCGCGCCGCGACTTCACCGATGACGACAACCAGGACTGGAACCTTCCAGTCCCGCTGCTTGAAAGTCCCCCGCACGTACCTGATATGCGGGTGGCGCCACTCGATTGGCTCACGCGCGAACAATTTTTGAAGTTCGACACTCCGCACATCGTCACGCCGCGACTGGCGCTGCTCGCACGTGACAACAACAAGCGCTACAACACCTGGTACCTGGACAGCTGCTGCGGCCAGCATATGGTGGGGTCGGAGCGTTACATATCCAACGCCGTCGCCACCCCTACCGTCACTTACGTCACTGTGGCGAACAACACGCGCCTGCGCGCAAGCGCGCAAGGCATCGTCGTGCTCAAAGCACGCGGAAGCCGCACGCACATCACACTTAACGATGTGCTGATCGTCCAGAACCTGCGCTTCAACCTCCTGTCCGCCGCACAACTCATGGATTGCGGCGTCGACCTCAGCACGGACCGCGAGACGCGGGACATCCTGCTGCACTACGAAGCGCGCAACTTCCCCCGCAGGCAGATCGGACGAGCACACTCCGAAAATGGAGTGTACGTCCTGGATTTCGACATCCCCGACTGCAGCGGCGATTCGCACGAGCTGATTGACCTCGTGCCACTGCGCTTCGAGCACATCCACCGCAGGGACTGGAAGCACCCTGACGGCAGGCCGTGGGTGCCGCATCATCCTCACCCACGCGAAACAGTGTTACACAACCCCGACCCCGACGGCATATGCAGGGATTGCCACACGCCCACGACCTCAACAAGCGCGATTGCCGGCCGCGGACTCGCCGCCATCGCTGAAGCAGAGCGTACCGCGCCCCCCGAGGAAGGGATGTCGTGGCTCGAGCTTGAAGTCACTACTCACCGCGTGTTCGGCACTAATCAAAGTCCCCACGCTGGACCTCCCTCCCAGCGGCTCGACAACATCCTGCGCGGACAACGCCGCGGAAGCCTGGACTCACGAGGAGTTCCGCG